TACCCGAGTCAACGGCTAACTAATATTTTACATGATGCTGGCCCTATATTTCTGTTGGCAGATGCTACTGGCCGAAAAGTACTCGGAGAACATAAAGTGCCTGTTGTTGACTTGAACAAACCATTGCCTGCTGATTTGCCAATGGATAATCCGGATGTAATCAAGCTTGGACTCGATCCAGCTCATCTGGTCTATGTCATTTATACCTCTGGTTCTACAGGAACACCGAAAGGAGTAATGGTTGAACATCAGCAAGTTGTACGCCTCTTTGAGGTCACACAGTATAAATTTGATTTTCATGAACAAGACAAGTGGTGTTTGTTCCATTCAATTTCTTTCGACTTTTCCGTTTGGGAAATATGGGGTGCGCTGTCAAATAGAAGTCAACTGTCGATTGTTCCACACAGCATAACCCGCTCTACGGACGAATTTTATGATTGGATCTGTGTCAACGGTATCACTGTACTTAATCAAACTCCGTCGGCATTCAATATGCTCATGCAAGTGAAAAATATCAGTTCACAATCTGATTGCCTGCGATGTGTTATATTCGGTGGTGAGGAGTTGGATCCAATTATCGTAAGAAATTGGAATAATAAATACGGAAAAAGTCAAACTGTATTTGTCAATATGTATGGCACCACGGAAACTACAGTTCATGCTACCCACCAACGACTGGAAGGTTTGGATTGTGATTACGCAATTGGACGACCCCTTCCGGATCTTTGCGCATATTTGCTGGATTCATATGGCGACCCAGTGCTACTAGGAGCCGAAGGAGAATTATATATTGGAGGTGCTGGTGTAGCACGCGGCTATCTCAACCGGCCTGAACTTACTGCAGAACGATTTCTATCCGATCCATTCAGTGACAATCCAGCAGCACGAATGTACCGTACCGGTGATCGAGTACGATATCTGCCTGACGGCAATTTGGTATATATGGGACGCACCGACCAGCAAGTGAAAGTCCGTGGTTTCCGAATTGAGCTCGGCGAAATTGAAGCCCGTCTAGTTGAACATCCTCAGGTGGAAAAAGCGGTTGTACAATCCTATGGCAATGGTTCAGATACTCGTCTAGTTGCCTATGTTGTAGCTGACCCACACACTTCACTAATCCAGGATCTGCGTATCTATCTATCACATTTACTCCCACATTTTATGGTTCCAGCGTCTTATGTGTGTCTTCTATCCTTACCACTCACACCCAATGGCAAGCTTGACCGACGAGCACTACCCGAACCGGATGAGAACGCGTTTGCGCGTCATCAGTATGAAGCTCCACAAGGTGAAATGGAGGAAAAATTGGTCGATATCTGGCGTGAATTGCTTGACATTGAGCGTATTGGCCGACATGACAATTTCTTT